TTCTGATCTGCTTATCGAGGGAGCAACATGCATATCCTGCAGCCGTACTGCATCAACAGGTGTGTGTGTGTGTGTGTGTGTGTGTGTGTGTGTGTGTGTGTGTGTGTGTGTGTGTGTGTGCTTTTTAGTTACACTTTTTAAGAAGTTATTCACTAGATTTCAAAAAGAAAAAAATTATTTAGGAGTTTTCCAGTAAAACAGTCAGCATGAGGAACTTTTGACAACTTATTTGCAAAAAGAAAACCATCGTAGCTGTGGACAGAACCTCCAGGTAGGCTGTAATAGAGCTGTGGTTACGGTGGTGCGCCCTCTAGTGGACGAAAACAGAAATGCTCGAGCTTAGTGGTGACCAGAGCCACTCCTCTGCCTTCTCCACTCATCTGTTCATGGCTGGTTGTGGAAAGGCGTGCAGGTACAACCCGAACCATTTCCCTCCACACTACTGGGTGCACTGAGTGAGCATGTTAGCTGAGCTGTGAAGAGCAGCTCCTTCTTGGATGGAAGAGGAAAGTGGATTTGACAGCTGTGGAGGTGTGTGTGTGTGTGTGTGTGTGGGGGGGGGGGGGGGGGGGGCAGTGGTTTCACCGAAAACTGCTGAAACTTAGGAGAGGGGAGCAGAGGAAGAAGACGGTGTCTCCCGTGGGGAGAACTTTAGTGTGAGTGGGACTGGGTGTGGAGCTGACTGTCTGCAGATGAGCCAGAAAAACAGAAATGCTGAGTTTGTACGTTGGGTGAGAGCGACGAGTACAGGCAGACGTTCTCAGATGGAGACGGTATGATGTGCAGTTCTGTGGAATCGTGAGGAAATGAAGTCCAGAGCCGTGGTGTCTGACCCACGACCTCCACGGTCTGGAGGTTCCTGATCAACCCCAGTTACAGCTGATTCAGTTCACAGGTGTTAGGCGTGGTCCTGCTGTGGTACCGGTACCAGCACGCCGCTTCACTGGGCCAACCGGCCAAACCAAGAGTACCTGAACGGGGGTGGGCACTCAGAAAGGCCCAGAGTCACTGAACAGGGCTTGTGGTTAACTCGTGCTGATTGGTTGTAACTCAGTGGGAAATGACATCAGCAGATGTCACCAAACGTTGCTTGTGAAGCAGAATGGAAGCTAAAGCAAAGAAGCAGCGTTTGTGCTGCTTTAAAGTAGTTCCAACTGAACCCCCCCCCCCCCACCCCACCCCCCCCAACGCCGTCATTCACAGGCGTTGTCGTCTCATAGAGCGCCATGAAAAAGGGTGCTTCTTCTGGTCATTGAACGCCACATTTTGCTCTCCCGGTCCTTCGAATACTTTAATGATGCCGTAGTTCAACAGAATAAACCTTTTAACGTGTTTGGAGGCGATCAGAGACACCGCTACGATAGGCTGACGTCCTAGCGAGGTCCTGAACGGACACAGCTGCTGAGAGGGTGTCTCCCCTCCCGGAAATCACCCTGAAGATCGGACAGTATAAACACTCCTAATCACAGCAACGGGCCACAGTAATTACTAGACTGTATGTGAAATCTCAATGTTCTTCTCAGATGTGCTGCTGAAGGTTCTCAGTGGTCCAGGGGTTGGAGAAAACCAACGAAACCACCGAGTCCCAAACCTAAGCAGGTTTAAGACTCACTCTCCGGATTCTCTTCGCTTTGGTTGAACCAGGTCTAGTCTGAAGGCGTTGTTGGGTTTATCAGGACGAAGTTTTCCAGAGCTGCGAGGATAGTTTGGAATTGTGTTGTCCCGTTCTTCTCTGGTAGGTGTGTTGTTGTTTATCCAGGTTTCTCTGCTGAACAGTCCCGTTGTGTTCTTCCTTCTCCTTCCCGTCTGGAATGGCGGGATTTAAAGTTCTGATGAGAACATCGGTGATTCAGTGGGTCATTTGCATAAAAATGTAAACTCCCACGCCTCCATTTTTAATAACAGACCACGTTTAAAACACGGCTGATTGTGTTGTTTACCTTTAAAAACTTTTTCCAGAACATCTTGGCTTTTCCTCTGGAGCAGTTTCCTTCTCACCCCGTCTCCACGGTTCCTTTCATAACACATTTGACCCCGTGCTTCCTTCTACGGGAGCCCGTGAGGACAAAACACATGTACTGATGCGGTTAGAAAACATTCATCATTCATAAACGCTGTCTTACACTTTTGCCTTTCACTCGTTGCCAGTGATGAAAGGCAGTCTGGTGTGCTTTTTGACCCTAATGGCTCTCCGTTGGTCAGGTCTTACTCAAACACATAAATACTGCTTGCTTGCAATGATTCAAGTGTGTACTGCCCCCATCGCCAGGGAAAATACACATTATTGCTTTAAAGGAGACCATTTTACTATCGATCCAACAAATTCAGACTCTTTAGGCTGATGGAAGATTTGTTCTATGGCCCATCCATACAGCACAACATCTCAATCCGAAATGACTTCCTGTCTCTGGCTCCTTCAAAGGCAGTTCGACATCTGGGTGTTGTGATTGATGAACACCTGACCTTTAAAGATCATGTTGCCTCTGTTGCTCCTTCATGCCGCTTTGCGCTGTATAACATACGAAAGATCAGACCATACCCAACACAACATGCCACCCAGCTCCTGGTGCAATCTACTGTCATCTCCCGCCTCCATTACTGCAACGCCCTTCTAACTGGTCTTCCAGGCTGTACTGTGAGACCTCTTCAAATGGTCCAGAACGCAGCGGCGCGTCTGGTCTTCAATCAGCCAAAAAGAGCACACGTCACCCCTCTGTTCATTGAGCTCCACTGGCTACCGCTAGCAGCACGCATCAAATTCAAATAGCTAACACTAGCATACAAAGTCCGAGATGGTACGGCTCCCATCTACCTGAATCCTCTTGCAAAGGCTTACGTCTCGGCCCGGCCGCTCCGGTCATCACAGGATGGTCGGCTAGCAGTGCCTACACCACGCTCAGGACAATCCAGACTCTTCTCATGCATCGTTCCACAAATGTGGAATGACCTTCCAAGCACTACCAGAACAGGAGCTTCCTTTTCTATTTACCAGAAACTCCTGAAGACTCTGCTCTTCAGACAGCATCTTCTAAACTAGCACCCTCCCTGCACCCGTCCCCCCTCTCTACTGTCCACTCCTTGTTCCCTCCTCTCCATGACTGATGTCAAGTTGTTGTTGTTATTGTTGTTGTTAGCCTCAAGGGCAACATGCTGATTATCACTTGTAAGTCTCTTTGGACAAAAGCGTCTGCTAAATACATAAACATAAACTTAGAGGATTGGTGAAAACAGGAGATCTTTACAATAAGAGCAAGGTACCGTTCAAAACCCTCATCTCCAGCTGAGACACTTTATTAGATCACAACAAAACCTAAAGGCTGATGGATATGGACCGTGTGGGGGAGGGGCTTGATCTCCAGGTGTAAGGAGGAGTGGAGAGAAGATCTAAAGGGTCTCAACAGAGGAGCAGGAGGCATGTACAAGGGTTCACTACAGCTCCTATATAATTATACTCATTAGGAACTGTTGCAGTATAACTGGATGAACGGAACGTATAGTACTCCTATAATAGTACTACACCAGATACATGTACCAAATGTGGAAAACAAAGATGTGCTATTTCCCATTGTGTTCAGCAATGTTCCGAAATGTGGAAATGTCGGCTACAAATTCAACAAACTATTAAAAGTATTTTTCCGGATGCGGGTACCCTTACTCCCACAGCAGTTTATCTGGGCTCGTGTCCCGAAAAACATGTTCTCCACAGTTAGATAAATGGGAAAAGCATGTTGTAACCAGACCAGTCGTTCTTCTAATCTGGCAGTGTTCCATTAGCATTAGCTTAGCATAAACAATGTAAGTGAATGGTAACGGCTAGCATTTCAATCATTCAAAAAGATAACAACTTCTGTAAACAAAGATGTGGGGCTGCTAGGCCGATGGCCGGTACAGATCTTTGAAGGAACAGCTTAGTAAGTTGCACTAAAAATGTCTCGGTACATGTCAGACGAAGCAGGTGACCTTCGGGGCCGCTGCGTCGTGTCTTTGCACTCGGCGGGTTTAAAGCGGTGCCTTAATGAGTCCAAAAGGGTTTATTTGTGTTACCTACTGTTTTCTTTTACGGTGAATATGACCGTTGAGGTCACCAAGAATAATCAGGATCATTATTATTGAGTCATTTCCGTGACTTTTTCACACTAAATGCTAGCTGTTACCATTCACTTGTATAGGTTATGCTAAGCTAAAGCAGATGGAATGACTGGGCCGATTACAAAAAGCTTTTTCCGACTTATCTAGCCGAGGAACTTGGCAACAGATTATCTTAGGGGTAGAATACCATCTACCGCTCAAAGTCCCCACAGTGAAGTATAAAGCTCGTGGGGAGCGTGCGCTGGCCTTTGCTGCTCCCAGCCTCGGGAGCGCACTCCCTCTGGTGGTCCGCCAGGCTTCTTCACTGGCCCAGTTTAAATCCAGCCTGAAGACACATTTCTTTCATTTAGCTTTTGGTCGATGATCGGTCTTTTATGCTGCGACTCTCTTCTGTATTTACTGACTTCTCTTTTTATTGGCTGTTTAAAACTTTTGTATTGAGTTTAGGTGTTTCTATTTAATGACCTGTGTTTAATGTGTACGTATGTGAATCTGAACGGCTTTTTAGGTTCAACTCTGTGCAGAGCTTTGGTCAGCTGACATGCTGTTTTTAAACGCGCCATATAAATACAATTGGATTGGATTGGATCCCTTTAAGAAGCAGCAGTGTGTATTTGTGGATTTAAGTACTATTGGCAACTGGCAGGTGTCAGGTGTTAAAGCAAGCATGACCTTCACTAAAAACGGGATTTAGCCCAAAACCCAGGAATCCCCACGTTCTGCTAGGAATGAAGTGGAGGTAATAAGAGAAGGCTTCATGCTTTCACTGGTTCTGTCGCATGACGTCTGAACATCTGAGTGAGATATTTTTAGAGCTAGAACAACAAAAGTGGGGTCTGTTTTCCAGACAGCTGTCTCCTTCCACATTTTAAATATGTTCACCGGCTTCGTCTCTTCTTCTCTGCTCCCAGGTGGCCAGATGTGCCAAAGAGGAAGAGGAGGAACAGTCAGTGTTCAGTAAAGAGCGTGTCTGGTAAGGGTTCATCACCTCGTGTTGCTCATTTTGTCCCCCTCAAACAAGAAAGCTTCGAAACGGGTTCCACATCCTGGGCTTCCTGGTTTAGCATCAACAACAACAACAACAACAGTGACACACAGATTAAGGTCGTGGCAGTTCGGGACTTTTCCTTTTAACCCTTTAGAGGAGCACGTTTTAAACAAATGCACACTGATGTTTAAGTAAAAGTAAAGATATCATAATACTTTATTCATATTTGATGTTTGCATTATGACCCTACAATAAATGTTAACCCATAGGGCTCCAGATAAATAAAAAGTATGGAAAAGGTTGTTATTTAGTTCTGGTTTCATCCTGGTGTGGATGTTGAAGCGTTAAAGTCTTTTTTTATTATAATTTCTGCTGTTTTCTGTTAACTTACACCTGAGCGTTTGGTTATCGTGTCTGTTTCGTTTCACCTGTAGCTGTTTGAGGTCAGTAAGGCCCCAGAAACATGAAACACTCTTTGAAATGTAATTCATTCTAAAATTGCATTTCCATCCGCTGATCCGGGGTCGGGTCACGGGGCAGCAGCCAGGACAGAGAGGTCCAGACGTCCCTCTATCCAGACGCTTGGACCAGCTCCTCCGGAGGAAGCCCAAGACGTTCCCCGGCCTACCAAGAGACATAGTCCCTCCAGCGTGTCCCGGGTCTTCCTTTAGGCCTCCTCCCTGTTGGACGTGCCCGGAAAACCTCACCAGGGAGGCGTCCTGACCAGATCCCTTAGCTCCTCCACTTGGGTCAGGACCTCTGCCCGGGAGAGGGCTTTCTAGTCTTTTAGGACTGAAGGTCATGGCCTCGTCCCGGCTGCTTCACACTAGGCTGTAAACTGCTCCAGCGTAGGGAAACGGTCATAAATAAGCCGGCTAAATGGCCGCCTGTATTCATACAGAATCATTCAGGGTTCTGCAACCCCCCAAGGCACTTTACATCACGTCAGTTCACCCATCCACACACACCTCCTTATGCTGGTGGCGATGCGCTATAGTGTACCCACAGCTGCCTGGGGCGCACAGGCGCCGCCGCTCCGACCGCCACCAGCAGGCAAGGCGAGTTAGGGTCTTGCCCAAGGCCACAACAGCGGTGACAGACTGAGCGGAGCTCGAACCTGCAACCCTCCCGTTACAGGGCGGGCACTGTCACCCCAAGCTGGCAACATTTGGAGATCCTGTTTTGATGAAGTCAGCAGAACCACCTAACCTGCATGAAGCGGAGACCCGCTCCTTGGACCCCTTCCCTGCCCTGGCCGTGCCCAGAAGTCCTCCTCATTCAATTCAATTCAAAGAAACTTTATTAATCCCAGAGGGAGATTAGAGTTTCAGCACACACAGTTCAGAGATCAGACATACATGGGCAAGACACATGACAATAACTGTTGACTGTGGTCATTTGCAAACCCGAGTCGCGCTACCTTAATAGAGATCAGAGGGTTACATGAGGATTGGTTCAGGTGGAGGGAAAAAAGGCACTTCAGAGTTACCCTCCCCCAGGAGGGCAGCTTTGCTCTGCAAAAAACACCTCAGACAGAAATGCAACAGACTTCAGACATTACACACAACATTAGTGTCCACTAGGTGGGGTGGTGGGTTTGGGACTCTCCACTCTTCAGTTCCTGCAGCCACGATAAGCAGCGCGTGTCACCTCCGTCTGAACGTTACCAACAGAATCTGTGACAAAGGGCAGCCTTGGGCAAGTCCAGCTAAACAGAACTGAGGCCGGCTTACTTCCAGCAATGAGTCAACACACCACCAGGTAGTGGTCGTTACACAGCCCTACGCCTCTCGCCACCGAGCGTCCACAAACATGGCCGCTGATCAGATGAGATGAGATCATAATCGATGGCGCTGCGGCCCAAGCTGTCCTGCTGCTGGATTGGCTCTTTCCTTTTCAGCCGATCTGCTGCTGCGTTTGGATCATGGTTCTGTTTTATGACCCAGTTTGGTCCAAACCTGAGCTGTCAGATGTTCTTCCGTCAGACTCTTGAATACTTTGGTCTCCAGAGGAGTTCATGATGGACCTTCAGTCCTCCACTCCTGTGCTGAGGCCAGCACGGTGCTCTGCTCTGTGGATAAGCATCTCTACGACATACACATCTGGTTCTGACCTTTACCACGGAGACCTGTAGAAGCACCCGTCTCTGCTCACTAGTAGGCTGACTAGACCCGTGACCTAGCATGTCACTCTCCTGTCATGAACTTTAACCTCCGCACGCTAGCTGAGATGGGTCTTTGTCATTTCTGAGAGCATCTGACCTCAGACTGAAGCTGCCTGGACGTCCCAAAGATGGATGTCTGACGTATTTCATTCATGAACATTCCCCCTGGAATAAAGTCCACATAATCCTGTTCAGATTAACAGCACGCCACAGCTATGATCATCTTAAATATGCTTCCTTTAGTTATCAGGGTATCCACGGGTCCTTAAAATGTCTTAAATTTGCTTTTCCAAATTTAAGGCCTTAAAAATCCTTAAAAATAACAAATAACCCTTAAATACAGTCTCCAAAGGTCTCAAATGACCAAAGACCCGATGAACAAGATTCTGGAACCGTACACATTCAGTTGGTTGTGAAGGGGGCTATTTTTAGATGAGCACATTAGCTGGTTAAGCTAGCGGGAGCTTGCGCCATGGGGAAGTGCAAGTTTAATGGCAACAGGATGGCTAATCCCACGTTCCCACGTAGCTGGAAATTATAGTTTAGATTTAATTGAAAAAATTGCTTAAATGTGGTCAAAGTGGCCTTAAAAAAGGTCTTAAAAAGTCTTAAATGTGGCTCCCTTACACCTGCAGACACCCTGGTTTTACACGAATCATTGCTGCTTTCTATCGATCGTAAGATTTCTGTCTGCATTTATTAATATCTACGTGTAGCTGTTGGCCTGAGGTGGTGTTTCCCTGATTTAAAACCAGGAAGAACCAGATGAATATTTCAGTGACTGAGAGGATCACTTACAGGACTTTTTTAATGCTAAGCTCGAGCTTTGGGCTGAATATCAGCCTTGACTCCTGTGTGAGGAGCAGAGACCTGCAGGGATGATTTACAAATGTTCTTGGATTAGCTCGTTTGGAGATAATTCATGGAAGATTACATTTAATTAAAGGTTTGGATTATTTTGTGAGTCTTGGGGGTCTCGCATGACGTGACTTCAGAGTCAGTTCCGTGTTTGCTCCATCTTGGATCACCGTCTGTGGGGCCCTGTCTGCAGGTGCTTCACTGGAGGCCCCTGTGATAACACGCAGCCCCCCGCCCTTTCCCCTCCACTCCTCATCACTCTCTCATTCTCTCCTCCAAACATCACCACCACCCTGTTCACCCCATCCCTTCCTCCTCTTCCTCCTCTCCTATAGCTCTTAGCATCTCTGTTCCAGGGTACATTCCCAGCTACCTGGAGAAGGACGAGCCGTGTGTGGTGTGTGGAGACAAGGCCACCGGGTACCACTACCGCTGCATCACCTGTGAGGGCTGCAAGGTACCAGCAAACATCTCTGAGAAACAAAAGAGAGGAGCATGAACATGGTTGTCTTTCTGAACTGGAGTAAAAACAAGACGAGATGTGAAAAATGTGGCTGAAAGAAAAGGAAATCATAATCGGTCCAGACATGAACTAACGTGGGTCTTTATCGCTAATCTAGAAAATCTGGAAAACAAAGGCCTCTAAGCAACGTTCTAACATAGTAAACATATAAAAATGTGGTGGAGATAAAAAAAATAATAAAGTGGTTTTCTGTATTTGTCTATAAACCTCCACCAACAACACGTTCCAGACCCAAACCAACCATCGGACCATCCGGTTGTCGGTCTCACCGAACCGCCGCACTTCCCTGGGTCCTCCACGCATCGCACACTCACGTGTTCAGCACCAGAACACCGCTGGTGTGAGAGGTTCTCCGCTCGGTAACATCAGAGAAGGAGAAACAGCCGGCTGCTACCGCTTCAGCTTTAGGACAAACTACCCGAGTCCCAAAAAGTAAAACGCCGTCTGAAGTCACGGACAGCAAAAGATGTTTGGACCTAGAAAATAGAGACTGGTGTTTAGCGCTCTCGTTTCCTCCGACAGTCTGGGTTTCTGGTTCTGGTGGACGCGGGTCCAGGGGTGAGTCTGCTGTTACCATGTTTGTTCTGTAGATGTGTTATAAACACTTTAAAATGTGACGTAGGGGACAAACATTTGCACTTATGCTAATTAGCATTTAACTGCAATCATAATTTAATCATATTTAGCCCCTCGTGACAAAAGGCGTCTAAAATGACATCACCCAGAGACTTAGACCCACTCCCATGTGTTTCATACCAATTTTCATGGTTATATGTTAGGAAGCCACTAGGGATGTAAGAAAATATCGACGTGGCGATATATTTTCCTGCGATATTACATCAATATTCAGAAGCCGTGTATCAAATTTTGAGAAGAATTTACATGCAAACGTTTACGTATTTTTTTTCTTTTGGTGCAGTTCAAACGCCGACGGCTAGCTAGCAGCAGTGTGTTTTGTTTCCACCCCTGAAATGTAAACCCCTCTATTATGGTTCAGACACCTCATGTTAGTATCAGTCTGGACTGTTTATTGAATTTTCCAACAATAATTTCAGCCTAAAATAACTACTAATATCGTCTGGCCTAATGTATCGCAATATATCGTGATTTATCGCATCGTCTCCCCATATCGTGATACGTATCGTATCACCAGAGTTTTACCAATACACATCCTTAGAAGCCACCAATATTTTAAACAACTGCGGGCCATCTCATTCCTTTTCAGTGACATTCTGGTGGATGTTTCCAGAGATGAATGGTAAAAAACTACACGTTGTCTCTTTAATTTTGTCAGAAGGGGAGAATCGGGTCAAAAAATGGGCACAATAGTCTTTCTGCGAAAGCCGGGTCTAAGTTGTACATAGTTTTGTTTTTCTCATTTTTAGGCTGTATTTTAAAAGTAGTTGCAGTTTTTTCTGCCCTGTTGTTGTTTTTCTAAATCGTCGTGTCTGACGGCTTGACCAACAACGAGGGGGTTACCGTGTGTTGCATTCTGGCGTGTTTTTAAACTTGCATTTGGCTGAAATGTTAGATATGAGATGTTTCATGAATGACTTAGTTTTCTATGTGTTTATTTGTTTTGATAGCTTCTGCAGCATGCTGCAATAGCCACTCCTCCTGAGGTCATTTAGGGTCACTAGGGTCCTGCTCCTTCTCGACAAATTCAAACCGAACACAAGAACCTTTAAGGGATCGGTTGAATTTAAGGCTTAATAATGTTTGAATTCTTCCTTCGGTTACAGCCAGGATTAAACAGGTGCGTTTTGTTTTAACAGTAAAGAATCGTTTTGACTCGTCGGATCCATCAGAGGTCTCGGTTATTGGGTGGACCTTACGTTTTTCATTTGCATCTTGGCTTTGCGTTGTTTTAAAAACTCACACAGACGGCTTTAAAAATGGAAGAGTTAAATATTCGTTAAGCTGAGAATGAACACAAGAGGAATGTAAACGTTGGAGAAGTAACCACAGGTCTTGTGACGATGCAGGCTTCCTCACATCCTTCTGTCTCTTCGTGTGATCCCAGACACTCCGTAGCCGTGTTTCCATTGCCGAAACGTCGGGGTAAATTCTGGGATGGGGACCTTCCTGGGAGAGGTGATGTCTCGGTCCTCTCAGCTGTGTCTCCATTCAAATTCAGCCCTTTCAGGACTTTGCACAAGCGTCCGCAGCTGCTTTGGTAGTCAGTGATGTCACTGATCCGGGCCAAACAAGCATCTACAGAAACAGTGAAAGTTTTATCCTGTCAAAGTATACGAACGCTTTATCCATTCACAGGAGAGCAGCTGCGTGATGGAAGATGTGGCGTTCAGTGACCAGAAGAGGCTCTGTTGTTTACAGCGCTCTTTGAGACAACAAAGCACCATTAAGTGGTGGGGGAGTTTCCCCGTGTTTTCTGGTGTCGGGAGTTTAGTAACGACCACGTTAAAGCAGCAAGATTGTTTGTTCTGCTGGCCGCTCCTCCTTCCCGAAACTTCATCTCTGGTTATTCCCAAAGTTCACACCTCCTTTGGCTGCTCCTCATTCCAGTTTGCTGCTTCCAACGAAACCACTGAAGCTCACGACCTACATTCTGTAATCTACCTTCAATAACTCATGGTGATCGATAGTTTCTGATCAACGTGCTTCTGAGTATTAAAGACAGTTGTAGTCTGTTCTGGTTGACCGTACTCATTATCCTGTATATGAGAACAGCCGTTTGTCTTCATGTCTGACTGTTTATCTGATTTCATCTTACCTGTTGTTCTGTGGCGTGACGCTAACTGTGTGTCTGTAGCTGCTGCCTCGGCCAGATCCTCGTTGTGAATGAGAACAAGTTCTCCATCCACTCGTCTGGATAAATAAAGGTTAAATAAATAAAATGTATTCACGTTCTACTCTTTAGGGCCGCTCGATTTGGAAAACCTGCGATAACAGTGATTAATATACTGCAACGACGATTTTACTTGCGATAATTAAAAACTTAACTCGGAAACAAAAATAATCAAAAACAAGGAAATAAAAAAATGACAAAAAAATATATATATCATAAAAATGAGAAAAGCAAAAGATGTGAGGAAAGAGAAAAAGAAAATGAACAAGAAAAGGCGATCAGTGGATCCCGGGAAAAGCAGAATCAGCAGAAAGAGCTAACGAAGCTGACTCAGGTGTTTGCTAACCATCTAAATGATGTGCCGTCCGCCTCGGGGGCGGGACTCTAACCTATTGGCTCTGGAACCCAAGTTCTTGAGAGGGGGTGGACACTCTCCTTTGCTGGAGTTGCTCCGGATGAGAGGCGGAGGGCTGGGGTTGGCTTTTTGATACCCCCAAGACTCTCTGCCTGTGTGTTGGGGTTTATCCCGGGGGACGAGAGGGTAGCTTCCCTGCGCCTTCTGGTCGGGGAACGGGTCCTGACTGTTGTTTGTGCTTATGGGCCAAATATCAGTTCAGAGTACCCACCCTTTTTGGAGTCCCTGGGACGAGTGCTAGATAGTGCTCCACCAGGGGACTCCATTGTCCTGCTGGGGGACTTCAATGCTCACGTGGGCAATGACAGCATGACCTGGAGGTGTGTGATTGGGAGGAACGGCCCACCTGATCTGAACTCGAGTGGTGTTTTGTTATTGGACTTCTGTGCAAGCCGCAGTTTGGCCATAACGAACACCATGTTCGAACATAAGGATGCCCATCGGTACACTTGGTACCAGGGCAGCCTAGGTCGCAGCCTAGCGGCCGTATGTGTTGGACACCCGAGTGAAGAGAGGAGCGATCACCACCTGGTGGTGAGTTGGATCAGATGGCAAGGAAAGATGCCGCGTAGACCTGGCAGACCCAAACGCATCGTGAGGGTCTGCTGGGAACGCCTGGTAGAAGAACCTGTCAAGATGGTCTTCAACTCCCGCCTCCGGCAGAGCTTTGACCGCGTCCCGGGAGCAGTGGGGGACATCGACTCCGAGTGGGCCTTGTTCCACTCTGGTTGAGGCAGCTGTTGCTAGCTGTGGCCGCAAGGTGGCCGGTGCCAGTCGTGGTGGCAACCCCCATACCCGCTGGTGGACACCAGAGGTTCGGGGAGCCATCAGGCTGAAGAAGGAGGCCTACAGGGCGTGGCTGGTCTGTGGGTCTCCGGAGGCAGCAGACAGGTACCGGATAGCCAAGCAGGGTGCAGCAGTGGCAGTTGCCGAGGCAAAATCTCGGGCGTGGGAGGAGTTTGGTGAGGCCATGGAGAAAGACTATCGATCGGCTCCAAAGAGGTTCTGGCAAACTGTCCGGCGTCTCAGGAGAGGAAGGCAGCAACTCGCTCACACTGTTTACAGTGGGGATGGGGAGCTGCTGACGTCAACTGAGGCTATAGTCGGATGGTGGAAGGAATACTTTGAGGAGCTCCTCAATCCCACCTACGCGCATTCCGAGGAGGAGCCAGAGCTGGGAGGCCTGGGGATGGACTGTCCGATCTCGGGGGCAGAAGTTGCTGAGGTAGTCAAACAACTACACAGCGGCGGAGCCCCGGGGGCGGATGAGGTTCCTCCTGGGTATCTCAAGGCTATGGATGTTGTAGGGCTGTCGTGGTTGACACGTGTCTGCAACATTGCGTGGTCATCGGGGGCAGTTCCTAGGGAGTGGCAGACCGGGGTGGTGGTCCCCATCTTTAAGAAGGGTGACCTGAGGGTGTGTTCCAACTATAGGGGGATCACACTCCTCAGCCTCCCTGGAAAGGTCTACTCCAAAGTACTGGAGAGGAGGGTCCGATCGATAGTTGAATCTCAGATAGAGGAGGAGCAATGTGGTTTTCGTCCTGGCCGTGGAACTGTGGACCAGCTCTATACCCTTGCAAGGGTGATGGAGGGGGCATGGGAGTTTGCCCAACCAATCCACGTGTTTTGTGGACTTGGAGAAGGCTTATGACCGTGTCCCCAGGGGCACCCTGTGGGGGACACTCCAGGAGTATGGGGTGGGTGGCTTTCTGTTAAGGGCCATTCAGTCCCTTTACCAGAGGAGCGTGAGTTTGGTCCGCATAGCCGGTAGTAAGTCGGACCTGTTCCCGGTGAGGGTTGGACTCTGCCGGGGCTGCCCATTGGAGAGGTTACATCTCCAATCTGGTCCTGGAACGCCTTGGGGTCCTGCCAGAGGTACTGGTGGAGGTGGCTGGGGCAAGGACGATCTGGAGCTCCCTAGTTGGGATGCTGCCCCCGCGACCCGGATAAGCGGAGGAAGACGATGACGACGAAAAAACATCATGCTTCTGTTTGATTGACCGAATGCATCATGTGTAGCAAAAGTTACAACCAGCAAGGGTTAACCATAAGTTCTGCTCCACCGGGCCGTTTCGAGCACCTACCCCTGATCAGGTGCTCAGAAGGTTTTTTAAAATGGCCGCTCGCTCGACCGGCCCGCTCCAGCGGAGGCACGCGCATGTCGTCACGTTCCAGTAATGGAAACACACCTCATGATGGGGATCTGGGCTCTGTGGGGGCCACACCACCACTTCCAGGACTTCTGGGTCTTATTCACAATGAAGATAGCTTTACTGATGTTGGCCAGATGTTTGGGCTCACTTTACATTTAATCAGTTGATAAAAATAAAATGATATTTCTGAAATCGTTCTTTGCTGATGGCATCTTTTCACATCGGCCCAAAACTTTTGCACAGCACTGTGTCTGTATATGCAGCTCCGTTCTTAGGCCTCAGTGAGGCTCTTGATTATTTTTGATTGATTCTAATTAACTGAAGGGGTGTGTCCTCTTTCACACGTTCATCCTCCACCGTTCCTCTCTCCCTTCAGGGTTTCTTCCGCAGAACGATCCAGAAGAACCTCCATCCCTCCTACAGCTGTAAATACGACGGCTGCTGCTTCATCGATAAGATCACCCGCAACCAGTGCCAACTGTGTCGATTTAAGAAGTGCATCTCCGTTGGCATGGCCATAGATTGTGAGTCATCTTGGGCTTGTTTCTGCTTTTACTCGTGGTTTAATGGTCAGAATGTTGGTTTTCACAAAGATTCTGCATTCGGGTTATTCATGGAGCGGCAACTCCCAACATCAACCTCAAAGCGATTCACGGAGCAGGCGCCCCAGTTAACAGTGGACCGAGTCCAGTTAGGGAAAACGTTCCGATGTAAGGAAACCCAGCATGTTGACTCCACAGCAGTCCTCATACTAAGCAAGCATGTGGCGACAGTGGACAGGAAAACTCCCTTTAACAGGAAGAAACGTCCAGCAGAACCTGAGCAGCCATCTGTCACGACTCACTTGAGGTTTGAGAAGACAGAGCATCCTTTATCGATACCAGCCGATCCTCGCGTGGTCGCAGCACCTTCCTCCAGCAGTCACTGGGACAACAGGCGGGGTCCACCCGGACAGGTTACGAGTCATGAGCGACGCAGAGATACGCAGGACACGAACCAAGTACAAGTCCCATCCTTGGACGTGTGTTGATGAAGGTTTTGTTGGAGGGAAGGGCTTTGGTTCTGCTCTTGTTGACACTAGAACTTCCTGCAGAAGTCCAATGGTGCCGTTGATGCACACACACTTGCTGATGTCATTCTGCTCTGTCAGAACCCGTCCCACAGCCGTCCCACACTTAAGGAGATGGTCCTGGTCCTGCAGAACTTTCCTGAATATTTAATCAATGTTCACGAGGTTCTAGTTTTTATGCGACCTCATCCTAAAACCGAGGCAGCAATCTTTGTGGGGATTAATATTTGTGTCACTGTGAACGTTTGAGCACAACTGTGAACAAAGATGGTGAACGCGGTCGTCTCTCAGCCCACACCCTGTGGTGGGGATGCTAACTGGGCAGAACAAACGATCCTGTTAGCTAAACGCACTCAGGTTTGTTACTCCTCCCACCAGTGGTGCTGGACGACAACAAGCGTGTGGCCAAGCGGCGCCTCATCGAGGAGAACCGGGAGCGACGGAAAAGAGAGGAGATGGTGCGAACGATGCAGACCAGACCGCAGCCGGACAGCGCTGAGTGGGAGCTGATCAGGATGGTGACCGAGGCCCACCAGAACACCAACGCCAGCTGGAAGCAGAAACGCAAGTTCCTGGTAAACCTTTACTGTCACCTTTCCCCGCCCACCATGCTAAATATTAAACGAGCTGCATGCTTTTTAGTTTACTTGTGACGACTGTTAGAACGACCTTTTTGACCCTTGGCTTGAAAAGTTTGTCCGGTCTTTCTTTGTCCTAACCTTGAGGGCTTGGGAGGTTTCTCCTCCATCCTCATTGAGCTGAACGTGTGCAAGGCTGGTTACACAACTCTCTAACTAATAAATACCTTGAGGGAAAGGTCGCATGACAGTTGCTAGGCAACCCGGTGGCAAAGGCACCTTTGAAGCTGAATGCATATTTTTGAAGGTTCGCAGAGATGAAAAGGACAAATGAGCACACCGTGTGCTTGGAGACGAGAGATGGAGCACAAACATCCACTGATTCACTCGTTTATTCGTCGTCTTCTAACCGACTCGGGAAAGTTTCTGGACACGAAGGTTCACTTGCTGTCATTTACCCTCGGGCTGGGCGACGTGGCCTCAGGTCATCACCACGGCGTGTTGAGGGGTTCAGCTCGATGACGGTGGAGGGACGACAATGACCTGCAGAGGTTGGCCACTAGATGGCGCTGTGGCAGCAAAACTGCTCCTCAGCCAGCTTTATTCCCCTTCAGTCATTTTAAAAGTACTGCTTTGTTTAAAACTAAGCACAAGTGTTTAAGATGCAGCCTGTTATCTTCTAAAGATGGATATTACACAGGCTAAGAACTTCTAGCTCGCTGGCTGTCGCCGCGGCAGCGAGCGGCGCTGAGCCGAGCGCGGCGGCGGCGGCGGGTAACGGCAGACCGCTGCGATGAGTGGATGTCTCAGAGCTGCAAACCGCCTGCTGCTTTGTTCGGGGAAAGTGATAACTAAACGATGAATTATCGCCCTCCCTCCTGTGTGTGTGGTGTAGAGGTTGGTGCTGTAGACCCGGCCAGCAGAGGTGAAGACCCACTTCTCACCTGTCCGTGTGTGTGCTGTGTGTTTGTAGCCAGATGACATCGGCCATGGTCAAATGGTGCCCAGCTCAGGTGGAGACCGAGTCGATCTGGAGGTCTTCAGCGAGTTCACCAAGATCATGACCCCCGCCATTACACGGGTTGTCGACTTCGCCAAGAAACTGCCCATGTTCTCAGAGGTAGGTGGTCCGTCCTAATGTCCCGCCGTACACCATCCCGTTATCTGACTCCTCTGTTGTCATAGCAACGCGTAACGCTTGTTTGTTTGCCAGCTGCCTTGTGAAGACCAGATCATTCTGCTGAAGGGCTGCTGCATGGAGATCATGTCGCTGCGCGCCGCCGTACGTTACGACCCCGAAAGCGACACGCTGACGCTGAGTGGAGAGATGGCGGTGAAGCGCGAGCACTTGAAAAACGGCGGGCTGGGAGTCGTGTCGGACGCCATCTTTGATCTGGGAAAGAGCCTGGCGCAGTTTAACTTGGACGACACCGAGGTGGCGCTAATGCAGGCCGTGCTGCTCATGAGCTCAGGTGAGGAGGGACCGGGACTCGCTTCAGATTTTAGGTCCTGTCGGCGAAACCAGATCAGGAAACAGGAACACGTGTTTGTTCTGTCGGTGGGATCGGTTCCAGATGACTTCTGTCTTCCTTAACCAGCTCTGGTCTCAAAAGACACGTTTCTGGGTAATCGGTGCGTTCTCCGTCCTCACTTGTTCTGGACCCGCAGCGCTAACCCAACACACCCTACCAGCTGAGTGGCTGGCAGAAGTTCATGCACATCAGATGCTATCTGTGTGTCTACTTCACCCGTTCTGGAGACCCTCTTGGTGGATCCGAAGGTCAGAGAGGTCGGATGACCTCTGGCACCGAAGGTCCAGTAGATTGACCACAGCACCGACTTCTCCAGTCCAGAGATGTCTCGGGTCACGACAGACGGATGGAACCGCGCGTCTGGGACTCTGAAGGAGTCTGAACAAGATCAGCTCGTTCTGCAGGAACCGTTTGCGGTGTCAGCTTCGCAGGAGCAGAACGGTTTTGATGACGTGTCAAAAGCTTTGATGTTAAAGAGGTTTTTGCTTCAGGAAAATATCTTTAAAATAATTAATAATATAATTACTAGTAATATAAAGAAGAAACACTAAAATGTATATCAGTGAAATTAGTAATCAAACCTATACGTGAATGTACCCCATAAGGAATTAGAGATTAGTAGATAAAAATAAAAAAATGGAATTTGGATAAACACAACAGTGTGTGGAATACTCCCTTTAACTGTTGAGACTTAACCATCATAGGACTCCAGGAACCCACAGCATGACCATCTCAAGTCACCCCAAGTCTGCACGTCATGTATGGACAGGAAATACAACCACGCACACACACACACACACAAACTTGTGTAACCTGAAACAGGGAACTATGGGACAGACGAATCCGGACAAATGAGATCACCCCCCTTTTGAAGTTAAAGGCCTAACCGACGGCGCAGGAGGTGCAGGCGGAGGCACCTGGGCAGCCGGGGCTTCACAAACAACCAGCACGAGAGCTCAGAGATAGGCGGCCACCGACGTTGCTGACCGAGTCTCCTAGAGAGGTCAACCGTGCGGAGAAGTGATGAAACAGGAGCAACGACAACCCCAAAGACAAACAAAGGTTTAGGCATGCAGTGAATAACACGACAGAATCAGCGGAGGACCAGGAGTAAGACACGGGTTGAAACCTGAGACCAGGATCTGCCGACAACTCACGCAGCACCCTGTTCACCGCCCCAGCCCAGACCATGGTCGGACCACTGAACGTAACACGATCCACCGTAGCTGGAGAAAGAGCAAAGGAGATGTTTTCATAAGAAGGAGAAAACTCCACAACAGACTTATGCTCACCAGGATCCAGGTCATACAGAGAGACCTCACCTACATGGACCGTAGCACCACGTGGAACTGTCACCCACAGGGTTTGAGGCGGAAGCACAACATGTGTGGACACGCCCTGGCGCTCGTAGAAAACATCCACCTCACGCACGGGGGCATTAACTACCCAACGTTCACCAACAACAGCTGTAGTTTGAACGACATGCGAACGTGGAGTCGGTCATAGGACATTCAGAATCACCCGACAACTCATCAATGCCACACACACCAGTGGCACCGCCACGCAGAAAAGGTGTGCCTGGACACAAGAAGTGTAGGCCACGTGTGAGCGAACACACGCAGATCCGGGACTAACAGGACGCGCGGCGTGTGCTCATGGAACGCGACGACAGGAGGCGTGTGTAACGTGACGTGAGTGTCGTCAACCCAGTTACCAACATTTACCACATCCTTTAGTCTATAGATGCCATCTGAAGATACAGCAGGTAAGTTGATGATGAAAGCTAGCTCTCTAGCATCTGGACTGACGCTTAACGGGATAGCACTGCCCAACGAGAAAGCCAAGTGAGTCTTCGGCAGGTGGGGTCCCCACCACAAGGTGCTGGGCTTCAGCCGGAGTATCAGCGCCACCATCAGCCCCCCCATCGGCAGGTGGTGTTCCCACTGTATTTTCCTCAGTTCTAGAGAAAGCTTCAGACCGGCCACCTGAAGCAAAAACCTCTTTAACATCAAAGCTTTTGACACGTCGTCAAAACCGTTCTGCTCCTGCGAAGCTGACACCGCAAACGGTTCCTGCAGAACAATCTGGTATTGTTTAGACTCCTTCAGAGTCCCAGACGCGCGGTTCCATCCATCTGTCGTGACCCGAGACATCTCTGGACTGGAGAAGTCGGTGCTGTGGTCAATCTACTGGACCTTCGGTGCCAGAGGTCACCTGACCTCTCTGACCTTCGGCTACACCAAGAGGGTCTCCAGACCGGGTGAAGTAGACACACAGATAGCGTCTGATGTGCTTTTGATAAGAATCAGCTTCATAGCTTAACTCAAACCAAACTCTTTTACATCCAGAACTCGGCTCTCCTAGATACGGAAGTTCTGATAACATTACATTCACACACAGGTTCATACGTCACAGTAAATGTTAGTTACCTGCCATGTTTTAATTGTTGGTAAAATAAATTCTTACTTTTATAAACCTGACTCTTTCCTGAATCTAAACAAAGTGTTTACATCCCCTAATAAATAATCATAGAATCTTTTAAAATACAGTTTTAAAAACGATGCCGTCTGCATTTTAAACCCCTTTTCAGACCGTTTTTAGTACGAGTGAAATAAGAGGAGGGGTTACCGAGTCATAGACAGCACTCAGACCAACTTTAGTTTGCTCTGTGGTTTCAGACCGCTCTGGGCTGACGAGTGTGGAGAAGATTGAGCAGTGGCAGGAGGCCTACCTGCTGGCGTTCGAGCACTACATCAACTACCGTAAGCACAACATTCCCCACTTCTGGCCCAAGCTCCTGATGAAGGTGACCGACCTGCGCATGATCGGAGCGTGCCACGCCAGCCGCTTCCTCCACATGAAGGTGGAGTGTCCCAACGAACTCTTTCCGCCACTTTTCCTGGAGGTCTTTGAGGACCAGGAAGTGTGACTTTGGGACGATTTTGGTTGGAGTTGAAGGACGAGCGTCGAAGCTAAATTCGACTCTGTTTTTGTCTGTGACTCTTCTGTGTGCCCTTTGTGCCGTCAAACACGGTACTCGTCGTCTGCCACCAGCCAATGCGCACACCCACACCCACACACACACACACACACACACAGAGTCTCAAACTCACTGCCATAACGGTTCAGGAGATCTATATGCTAACATGTTGCGTCTGGGCGGGTCTGCTGTGCTGGTCCTGCGTCTAAACCTGAGGGGCTTGGTCTCGTCTCTTCTAGCTGCTCAACCACCTGTGACCTCAAAATGGCGTCTCTTTGGGAGTTTCTCAATGTCAAGGCGCCTGGCTTTGCGGGGCGATGTCTTGCGAGGCCAGGCGCCTTGCTTACGAGGACACGGTCCTTCCTTGGTCAACTTATTTTTGTTTTTGTGAAGCGCCTCGTGATTTTTATCTTGAGAGGCGCTATAGAAATGATATTTTCTTCTTTCTTCTTCAAAGAAAACGGTTAAATGGAACAGACTTGCGTCACGTGACCGCGGCTTCCACGTGACACGGGAGATAACGTTATTTTTATAAGTATTAGTTTCAACATAAATGTATAACGAGCCTTTTACTTTTTAAATGGTGTATATGTTTATTAAATTAAAAATATAAGTGAGTTACTACCCGCTAGCCACCGAAGCTGCAGCTACTAACCAACCATAGATAACTTCTTTGGATCTAAAAAACATTTTAAATTAGCTGACTTAAACTTGAAAATTGTCCCCCAAGTAGCTGCCGGCTTCTGATCCGCCGTCCTTTTGAAAACAAAGCGGTGTATTGTGGGTAATTTTTCACCAAGGCTAGGCTACAAGACACCTCCCGTGTATCCTCGCTCAGCTAGCTAAACGGCTAACAAACGGAGAACTCACGCCTCGGTAGAACATGAACACTGGAACACGTCTTGGTGGCTCCCGATGACGTATCTCCTAGGCAACCGGGGCGGGGCCAAGACATCAAGGCGAGGTTCCTTGGCATTGAAAAACAGCCTGTTTTCTCCACACTTTGGATCTGACCTTTAACCTCTCAAACAAGCCCTGCCCCACTTCTGTAGACACATGCGCCTCCTAGTCCTCCTGTTTCTGCGCTCCATTAGATGCTCCGACTGTGAGTGTTCGTTAGTCTTCTTCGTTCACACACACACACACACACACACACACACACACACACACACACACACACACACACACACACACACAGAATGTACAAAGCACACCCTGACATGGTTACCCCAGAGCTTGTTAAACAGGATATCCTGTAGATTCCCTGGGTGAGGGTGGACGGCTTTGGTCCTGTTTGTTCTGACCCGACAGTTCCAGTTACAAGTCTCTTCTAGAACATTTAGTCGTTGCTGCAGATCTTCAGTTGAAGGACCTCAGAGATGCTATGGATGTCATGAACATCAGTGAAGAATATGTACGGAATCATTTTAGTGCCAAAATAATAAGTCTGGAGGGAAAATTTGGTTTCAATAAAACAAAATTGTTCTCAGTAGGTTTGAATGAAGACGACTAGACTCTACAAAACTGCTCAGGTGAGAAGTGAAACGTCTCAAAGAACCAAAGAAGTCTAGCTGGCTTCATTCAGGCTCAGACCTGCATGGCTGAGAGCCTTCACCAGCAACAGTTGGGATTTCTAAAAGGATTTAGATCATTTTCTATCACGCATCAGTTTTTCACAGCCGCTTGACCCCGTTCGGGGTCGGGGGGGTTGGTCTTCTGTCCGGAGGTCGTCATCAGATAGGAGATGGGGACACCTAGACTGACAGAGAATTAGAGAATAACAGATTTAGTCTGGTTCTTAGAAACAACATGGCTGAATGTAGGCAGAACTTTCTAATACATTCATAAATCCTCGACCCTTAATCTAATTATTAGAAATCCTAAAAGGCTCACCACATGCAGCCTAATATGTTCCTAGTTTTATTTCACCATATATATGTATATACAGGAAACAAGCTGAAGCTGGCCACGCCCACCTCTCCCCCACTCAGTTTCCTACAGGGAACCTTATTCTCCTCCCCTTTCTGCTCAGCTCAAACGGGGCCTAAGGAGCTATTTTCTGTCCGCTTTGCCTTTCGCCCTGAATCACACACTAGTGGCGGGTGTTTCGACCACAGCAATCACGTACTTTAGATTTATCAGCTTGTAAAAATCTGTAATTGGCATGACTACAAATCAGACGTTGGTATGTCACATATATGACACCCCCACAGAATCTCCTCCCCCTACTGACCACATGGTCAGAGTTGTGGTGGTTCTTTCCTCCTGAAGGAAGGATTTGAAGTTCGCTGAACTTACAGCCATCTTCCTCTGTTTTCTCCGGTTCTGGTTCGCTGACGTCACTTTGGGGATATTTGTAGTTGTGGATGCATTTTTGCACAAAACCTAAAGTAAGTTTTGCCCCCATTCAAAAAGAAGTGCGTGGTTAGAAAATAGCTGTTCTAGCCCCGTTGACTCGCATTCATGTTTTTGTTCTTCCGGGGACCCGTGGTCCAGAAGTTAGGCTCACTATGAGATGAGAACCTTCGATAATTGGGGAGGGGCTCAGAGTAGAGTTGCTGTTCCTCCAGTCTAGAGGGGTCGGGGGTTCTATACATTTTAAAAGTCCCTGATTGTGATGTCACAATCAGGGACTCTTTGAAACGGTTTGTTTTAGGCATACCAATCCTAAACCCACCAGTGACAGAAAACAGATTTTTATTTTACCACATGTGGAGTGTTTATAGAGGCAGCAGAGACCTTTATTTTCTTGTCAAGAGACAGCTAGCATCTAGCTAACTATATTTTCTAGCTAGCTTTAGCTGCATTACCTTATGAATAATGGATGAAACTGGTGAGTTTCGCTAAAGTCACTTAAACATTAGTAACGTAATCATTTAAAAACAAACAAGAACACGACCAGGTCCTCCTCCACTGAGTCCCAACAGGAGTTCAGCCAGAGTCACTCATTAGCTACAGCGGTCATTAGCCAACGTTGGTATTCCTTGGATCGGTGTGTTTTAGCTTTAGTGTCGTTCATGTTTAATGTTCTCTTAAGACCAGTTTAAGTTGTTGTCGGGACTAAAACCTACAGATCAAGAACAGGAAGTAGATTCATTCAAATGAACTGATGGCGATCCTGATCTGTTAGAACTGTTTTCCTCAGTTATGCGTTTACAGAAAGTTCCTTTTTATTAATGACGTCCGATAAAAAGACCCTCATAACATTTATAGCCTACACAGAACCGCTGCTTCTATTTATACAGAACCAGAGTACCTCCTTTATTACCACACACACACACACACACACACGCATACATGCACGTAGTGCCGCACCACCAACAGCATCCAGCAGGTCTCTTCAGAGGACGGATGGTTGCCATGGCAGTCACCCTGAACCCTCGCCCCCTCCTCTTTTACGCGGGACCAAGAGGTGTTCTACGTGCTGTTTTGGTTTTGGACGTTGAGTAGAGGAGTCCAGACAGAAGCGGGACTCCAGATGAAGCCGTTCTGGCCTGTTGGGTCATGACTCTGGCGGGTGGAGGCTGGGAGGCTTGGGGGAAAGGAAGGGACTAAACATATCAGTGAAAAGGACCAGGTTGTTCCCCGTCCTGCCCCAGAGCCTGCAGATCCAAACCAGCGCCGCTGAGAAGACCTCCATCCACCTTCACCCTGTCTGCCATCCACTAAAGAGACAGTCAGGTTCTTTGTTTGCACTACAACCACCACGTCTGTGTCCTCAGCAGCCCTGAAGCTCGCTCCCTCTCTCCTGTTTGTGTAGCGACGCAAGATTCTGAGAGAAAAGATCTCGTGAACTAGAACACGTCCATTTCTGTGTTAGCCGTCCGTGTTACAGGGTACTTCTGCTGATCACACACACACACACACACACACACACACACACACACACACACACACACACACACGCACGCGCACACACACACACACACACACACACACACAGCTGTAGTCGACTCAGTTTCACTGTGAATTAAAGTCCTGATGGGCGGATCGTGAGTCAGACAGAATTCTGGTGGTGTTCTGATCCGGTTGTGTGCCCCACAGCGGGACCTCCGTCTCCGTGATCCACGGCACCGTCGGCTCATTTACAGAGCACGCTTGTGAACGTTTCCTTCCTTCACCATTCGGACCTTCTCCTTGCATGGGATCAGATGTAAATGCCGAGGATGTTGCTGATGGGCGTCGCTTCTCCTGCAGACCCTTGGATGCTCTCCAGCTCCTCCTCTGAACGGGGTCTTCTCTTCCACACACACCCGTACCTCCGCCAGGACCACGTTCTCCATCTCATGCAGGGTGTGTAGGGCAGCTTGTCATCAGTCTTGGGGCGACGGGGGTGTCATACATCTGATCTCATGCAAAGACTTGGAGCGTCTGTCTGCTGAAGGAAGGAAGAAAGGCGTTTTGAAGCCATTGAGCTCCGGTCGCTGACTCAGACATTTACAGCTTTAACGCGCCGCGGTGTTTCTTCTTGAGCCGCGGTCCGACGTCTGTCACACCAGCTGGATCCTCCTGGTTTTGTTCTGCGTGTCTAGCTCAGCTCGTTTCATCAGCGCGCCCACTGATCAGATCTGTGGACCGCCGTCCCCCCGTCGTTTTTAGGAAACCTCACCAGCACGGCGCCTCGGGCCGAGGACCCGCCGCACCAGCACCGCGCCGCTCACCGTCATCGGGTCAGACGGTTTCACCTGGACGGTGGTGGCACTTCCACGCTTTAAAGTCGATCCTTGGTTTCCTGTCTTCATGACCTCTGCTGGCAAACAGGCAGAGAAGAGCTCAGTTTGCTGGAACCAAATGGAAACACGTCTCCTAGTCAGTCTTCTGCAGCCTTGTGACCTTCTTCACATGAATCAGCGTTGCCAGATGCGCGCCCAGACTCAGCTGGTGGGACTTGTTCAGATCCTAAACGGTCCAGAAACCTGAGTAGAAGCAGCGTGTGCTCCCCGCCCGAGCCGCATGGCCACACGCTCGTGTTTCCTCTTCCGGTCCGTGTCTCTTAGATTAAAAGGTTGTTTACAGTAAACTAAAATGTGAACGTGATGCCGAGCTTGGCCGCTGCAGCACGACTCAACTCAACAGTTTGTTTTATGACTATCCAGGGAAAATCTGCACCTGTCCTTTCTTCTGTCGCCAGATAAGCTCCGTGTGTCTGCTGTTTTTCCTGCTGCACTCACACAGAAACCCACCCGGCTCAGCCGAGCGCTCCTAGGTGGAAACGATGACAATCCCTGCAGGAATGTGGAATGTAAAATAAAAAGATTCTGTCAAAGACACCTTCTGGTCTTGTTTTTAATGCTGCTCGAGTCCTAACGGGGAGGGGGGGGGGGGGGGGGTAATAGGACAGCTTCCTCGTAAGGAACCAGCCTACCCGGTGACATAGGTCGCATCCACAGTCAACCACAAAGACCAGAGTTAAAAATGGACCGTCTAGCCTTCACATTTCTTCCCGCCTCGCCTCAGCGTTGGTCCTGTTGCCTAGCAACCGTAACCGCACTAATTCAGTTTAAGCTGCAACAGCAACACCGGAAAACAAATTAGCTTAAAAATGCCATGCCTCATTCTGACATAGCTGTAAATATAATGTGGAGATAAAAAATTAATAATGTCTAAAAGCCTCCACCAATAACTCGGCTCGGCCCAAACCAACCGCTGGACCATCCGGTTGTCGGTCTCACCGAACCGCCGCACTTCCCTGGGTCCTCCGCTCATCACACACCACCGGTGTGAGAGGTTCTCCGCTCGGTGACATCAGAGGAGGAGAAACAGACGGCTGCTACCACTTCAGCTTTAGGACAAACTACCAGAGTCCCAAAAAGAAAATCACCGTCTGAAGTCACGGACAACGTTTGGACCTGGAAAACCAGACTGGTGTTTAGCGCTATCTGGTTCTGGCAGAAGTGTCCCACTGAAGATACCCAAGGGGAGGGGCGAGTGCTTGTGTTTAAATCCTAGTTCAGTGGTACTCATAGGCACCACCCCCCACCCCCCCGAACCGCCCTCCCATTAGCACCAGCTGGGTAGAAATGGTGCTAGCGGGTCCACATCAGGCACCTTTGTTGTGGTCCTGGTCCACCAGCACCGAGCGGCCCTCCATCTCCAAGGTGGTTTATTAAAGTGGCCCTCGGCCTCTTGCGTTTCAGTACCCTGCCCTAGCTTCTTCTGTAGATTACAGCTTTAAAACTAAACTATACGTGAAGAGCTGTCATATGCACCTTCCAAGCTTGTTGATGATTGTTTTTCTCATATTTAAAATAAATATGTAAGAAAAACAAATATGCAAATGAGAAATGCCTAACAGCACAACCGCGTTACGCTCCAGGTTTTTATACCTGCACTCCTAACTGCACCACTCTCCCTTTATGTTGCCGTTACGGCGAGGAAAACGACTCTGATGTTCCACCTGCAAGGAATGGTGGGATAGAGAATAGTCCAGACCGGTCGGTGAACTTCAGTGAAGGTCAGCATGCATCTGTGAAGTCTGGTTGACGTAATCAGACTTTACAGCTGACAGCATTTGGAATCCATCTTTGCCTTCAACCTTGCTGAATGGCTGTGTCTCAATTCAGGGTCTGCATCCTTCGAAGGACCCAGCCCACCCGGCCGACGTGGGCTGCGTCCTCCGTCGGCCGGGTAGACCGGATGCTAACGGCTGTGAATTTGGACAGGCCTAGCCTTCATGAACTCCCTCCGCGAACGTTCTGTCGCCTAGCAACCGTGGAACCGCTGGGCAGAAGGGAGAAGGAACTTTAAACGATGGAGCGCGACGTTTTATTTAGCTTTTTAACCCCCAGAAACCCAAATTTAGAAAACAACTGCAAAATCTTTTTTTAACCTTTCACATGTTGTTCTAGGAGGCCAGATAAACGGGCCTATTTACACATTTTAACAGCCAATAGTGTTGCAGAACTGAACAATAGGACCTATTAGCAATGTAAATGTGGTTTTAAAAAGAAAAAAAATGGGGAAGGTTTATTTTTGTAGACTTAAATCTGATGTTGTAATATTACAACCGTGGGTCTCTGGGGGTTAATCATTTCCTTGACTGTTGGAGAGCTAATTCAGAGAAAATACTTTAGACTAGCTGAGCCTGAGCAAAGATGTGATAATAGTTTTTAATACTTCCTAAGGGTCTTACTTTGACCAAAACCCATTTATCACCTTTTAAAACGTTTCAAGACCCAGCGGATACCCTCTAGTAAACAATTCTCATTTGTAAACAAAAATAAAATTCAAGAGTTTAATGCAGAACTGATTTTATTTAGATATTTCTTTTATATGTACATGTTTAATCTTTATTAACCATTTTTTCTGTCAAAGTTCTCCCTTCTCTCCTGTGCCCTCTGCTGCTCTGCCTCCCTCTGCAGCCTCATGTCCTCCCTGATCAGCTCCAGAAGCTGGTCATCGCTGGCACCTTCCCCTGGATGCCCATTTTCTCCAGAATAGTCTTAACAAACATGTAAGAAAAAGACACAGGAAGAGAAAAGAGGACAACGGGTTATTCCTTTCATGTTTTCGCAGAAAAAACTAAACTTAAAATATGAGATGTTATTGTACCTCCATGCCACAGCCGCCGAATACTTTGCTCCGGTGATCATGTGGTCCATCTCCGCCCTAAGCTTAATAAACTCCCTGGTTTTCTCTTTTGGTCCTAAAATACAAACTTCTATTAAAATCAGGGGGAAACGTAGCGGGAGAAGTACGACACCGAGCGGCCGAACATACGAGCCGAGACCGCAATACGAGCACTTTTACTGTAACATTTCTAACTAAAATAACGTTCATGTATCACCAAAAGCCCTTAACCTAACAGTGTTCAAGTTTATGCTGACATTTATATGCGCAATCCTCTCCGACAGCTCCCGCTTCACTGTCCGCCATTGTTTTTAAAAGTTCTGCCGTCCGACCCGCAAGGCATCTTGGGAAATGCTACCTATTGAAGGATACACCCGACCCATCCTTCATTCAGGCGAAAAGAAGGCCGCATTCGTCGACCGCATTTGAAGGAGTCTTCGAAATGGGACAGGCCGAGTCGCGGCGCTGTGACGTAACCGGCCGACGGAGGATGCAGACCCTGAATTGAGACACAGCCAATGTGTTGCGTGGGTGAAACTGGTGGCTAGTACCAAACGTACGCTAGTGTGGCGGTAACTGAGTTACTGTGTTTAAAGTGATTTCATCAGTAGTAACTGGTAATAGTTAGCCTGAACAGGCTGGGAGCCCTTCTATCCAAATGACCCCGCCCCCTGAGAATTCTAACCGAGCCAATCAGCGCTGAGCAGCGATCGTCACACACAGCAGCGCGGAGCTCGTCACAAACATGCCGACTGAAGCGGTGTTCACCGCGGCTCTTAAAGCCTTTCTCTTAAAAAGATGTTTGCGCCGTCGCCAGACGCCATTTTTGATTACAGCTAAGAAACGACATCGTCGCGCGGTACAGCTGGCGTTTTTCTGGTGGGTTATTTTTGAGCTGCCTAGTCCCGCCCCTCATGTGCCGCTCTGCCTGTGAGTTACCAGACTGTTTGTCTGTGCAGAGGCGGGCTCGGTGAGGGTACCGCTGCTGCCGACCCTAACCCTAACTCCCACTGGTGTTGCTCTGATCACGTTCAGCTCGAAACACAAGGAAACGACCCCCAGGGGCTGGAGTGGATGAATGAGAGCGCTCAACAGGCTCAACGTTTCTCAGATGCATTTTGGCCGCTGAACAGACCGGCACTCACAATCAATATCCAGTCAATGTCAGTGATGGGTTTTATATCAGAGGTGAGGACCAACACCGTCTTGTTCACAGTACGGTATACGACTGATCTCATCGACCCGTTTCATTCCACTTCTCCAAGGATGGGTTATGGGTGAAGAGGAAGGCCATTTCCAGGGTCTCCTGAGGCTTCCCGAAGCTTTCAGAAAGATGTATAAATACAGGAAGTAGCGCACGACCTGCAGTGGCTGTGTCGTGAGACCGGCCCGGTCGTTTAAGCTGCTAGAACCAGAGATCTTGATTTTTCTTTCCCAATCCAGAGAAGCAGATCAAGTTAAGTGGCCGAATGTTATTCCAACTGGAGTAAAAGATCATCAGTAATAACTCAAGATGTCTGAATGGAAGTTTCCTCTGGTTAAGTCTCCGCTTCGGAAATCCACGGCGTTCCTCCCGGATTAAAAAACAACCTTTCTGTTTTCTGCTGGTTAATGTTTTGTGGCTGGACCTGAAACGAAACCGCGTAAATAAAAATAACTGCCCCTGTCTGAGGAAGAGGTCCTAAAGTCCTTCTGGGTGTCTAACCAACAAAAACTCACCAGTTCAACTTAATAAAGATTTAACATAATCTCAGACATTTTAGACTTAATCTGAACTTTGATTTAACTAGTTCTCTAAACACCTGTCGGGTTCAGGCGGAACAACCGGACCAGGCTTCGGAATAACTAAATCCACCTTTCAGAGTCGGAACAAGGAACTTTGAATCCGTTAATAAGCAAACAGGTTCAGTGGTTCTGACTCGGGCCCGGCCTCTGGTTCTGCTGACTCGAGCAGGTTCACAGCTGTCGGACGGCAGCCCGACAGAAACTTCTGTAAAGCCCCCCCGCCGTCTCTTCTTTTGTTCCTCTTCATTTTATTTTTTTTTACGTTTTGCCGCACCCGAAAGCATCGTGAAAGTTAGCCTACTCAAAAACACCTGCTAGCTTTGTTGTGTCCCGCTCTGACTCTGACCGCTTCTCTGACGTCCTTCATTGGGTGGCGCCTTAATGTGACGTAGCCAATAAAAAAAGTCACTAGTTAATTGATTAATTAATTTTGAAACAAATTGTAGATAGTAGTAATATCTACAAATTCTATCATAGGACGTTTGTACATTTAATTTTTTATTTATTTATTTTTAATTTTGTTCCTCTGTCTGGGCCCCATCCAGCCAATCAGGCCCCAGGCACGTGCCTACTTTGCCTTTGCGTTAATCCGGCTCTGGGAGGAGACACGACCCGAAGATGCGGCGGAAGACGCTGTAGCACCAACGCCGTCAACATCAACGTCCTCACAGAAGGACGAACTGGAAGAACAGCAGCCAGCCAGAAGTGAGCCCAATCTAGTCTTACAGCAGGAGCCTCTAGACCCAGAAAGGGTGTTAACAACTAGCTACCCATCTGATCCTGCAGTGGTACCAAACTGATGACATGGTGCGTGAGTACTTTGCACTAAACCATCCCTCTCAAAATACTGGATATTTCTCTGCATCACAGAGGAAATGTGGAGACACAGACTGAAGCTTAACCATGGAACATTTCTTCAGACGTGTTTCTGCTGCGACTGAGGCCTGTGATGCGCGAAGGCTGAAGATTATCACGGAGCGGAGCGTGCTAAATGGTTTCCTTGGTAAGTGTTGCTGGTTTTATTAATTATTATTCAAATAATTTTATTAATGTTCAAATAACAAAACAATAAGTTCACACTCAGAAAATAGACACAGAATTTCTGATTCAGCAGAGGCAAAAACAGCCTGAATGAGCATAAAGATCAAAACTTAAAATAACGTTTTCATTTTATTGAAATACTTTCTTTTAAGATTATAGATCATATTACATTTATACTGAAATAATTGAAGCTGCGTGATTATAGTTTGTTTTTGCACCTTTAAAACATGCTTCAGTCCATTCAAATGAATCTATTTCTTCTTGAATGTCTTTCCACCATCATGTGATTAATTTGTCAACATTTATAAATGTTGTAAGCTATTGTATTCAGCAGACAATCTTTTTAACTAAATGTGTTGATTAAATGTAAACAGAGCAAATAAGATGAATATATTTGCTCTGTTTACGTAGTATAATGACACCTAGTGGTTATTTACTGGTACCGCCTTGATGAGGATAATTTATTAGCATTTAATACAGCTGTGTAATGATGTATAAATTATTAATATCAGAAAATTATCTGATAGAATGTTTAACATGCAACACATGACTTATTCTGGCATACAAACAACCAATTTGTAACCAAAGACTGGGCCATGTAACATGTGAATGAACTTCTATTAGTAACTTTGGTAAGTTTCAGATTTCAATTCATTAAATAACATCGATGGGGGGGGGGATGCAGCCTGCCTAGTGTAGTCCATTTATTTAATCCGGCTCTGGCTGTAGCTGTTAGCGAGCGACGTGCTAACGGCTGCATTCTAGAACAGACGGAGTTATTTCACACCTGATGAGAGCGAGTTATCATCGGTGTGTGTGTGTGTGTGTGTGTGTCACCCGTTAGATCCCCCCCCCCCCCCCCCCCCCGTTGGGAGAAAGCGGCTCCCAGAGCTCCTGAAAATAATAGACTGGTATGAAATGAAGCAACAGACTGAGACGTGATTTTTGATGAAGACCCGTCGGCATCTGACTCAGGACCTGAGTTTTTATTCGGTGCCGTCTGTTCTCAGAGACAAACAACCGTTTAAACGTCTTCATCACTTTCCTTCCTGCTCGGCTGGAAGAGCACACGGCTGCCCCGTGCAGCAGGTGTGTTACATAACGCTGCATTTACACCACTCAGCTCAGCTCAGCTCTGATTGGTTTGGGTTGCTTTTCCATTACAAGAGCACGAGTGGGTGGGCTCACCATAGCTGGGGGGGCGATCTGTGTCACACAGAAACAGAACGATGGCAGACATGCTGGGATGTTGAAGATTCTGCTTAGTCTGGTTTTGGTTAACTGGTTTTGAAAACTGGAGGAACCAGTAGGCCTCCACCTCCTCCTTCGACGTGTCAACTCTATGGTCTTAAAATCCATCCCAGGTCATTAAAGCATCGAATCCTTTTAGTCTGTAACCCTTTTCATGACATCATCACAGCTTCAGTGCTTCGCCACATATTAAAAACAGAGATTTATACTTCAGATCCTTATATGCTGTTACTTTTCTTTAAGGTGAGCCTACTTCGGTGCATTTATAACCAAACATTTAGCATAAATTTCCACCCAACCCCCATAAAAAACTTTAAACTAACAATCTGGAAGAACGTCGTTGTGCGCCTCTGTACGGCGTCTGGTCTCTGGTGGACATCCTGGTGAACGCTGGTGCTGTTATCCTCCCCTACTTTCTTTTTACTCTCTCTGGTTCTCAGAACATTCTCCCACCGACCCGCGGGCCATTCAAGCTGTAAAGCTAGCCGAGTGCTCTCTCCTTAGGCCCGTTATTTGTTCTCCTCAGCAGCCAAACGCCGACTTAGCCCACAGAGCTGCTGAAGAAAGCCGTCGTTGGGTCCAATCTCTCTTTTCTGCCGCACCGTGGCCAAAGCCGTGTAGACGTCCATCTTCTGGCGGAGCATTAGGTAGGCGATCACCAAGGTGGGCGAGCGGCTGTAGCCTTCCCTGCAGTGGACGTAGACTTTACCTGCAGAAGATGAAATAAAGTTGTAGTTTGATGGAAATCGTACATCTCAGGAAAGCTGCCGTCGAGCTAACAGAGGTTTAAGACTCCATCCAACCATCAAGATTCAGCATTACAGCACACACTGAAGAGCAGACAGCACTAACTCTTGGACCAACTAGATGGTTGGAGCCATGGAGGACCGGGACAGTGTCTGTGGCGTGGTAGACCGCGTTCCACCTGTCAGAAGATCACAGCTCAGCCTTCACAGGGAGCTTTATTCCAGCGAGGTTTCTACCTCCTCTTCAGTTGTTGAGGGAGTCGTGGGAGTTTGGTTGTCCAGTTCCCATGCAGTCTGGGATCTGGAAAAGGTTTACGACCATTGAGTTGTTCTGGTGGAGCAGCTTCTGAAGCATCGGGTGCTGAAGTCGCTGTCCAACAAAACGAGCCGTGACTGCACCAACTCGAGGATCGGCGCTTACACATTAGCGTCAGCGTGGGCCCAAACGGTACCGAACGGAATTTGGTTTCACGCTCAGGTCAGATTTGCGTTTTTGGTGACAAGACGACTCTTTTTTTCAGACCTTCTCCCCAGCGGTCAGACTGGGACCGAGGCGACACCACGGACTGGTTGACCGGCTGAAATTACGCCTACCGCCTCCGATCTGCGAGGAGAACGAGCCAGCGGACACCTTGGACTTTCCTGCGCGTATTAAACTCCGCCCACAGGCTCGGGGATTTCCGCATTCCTGCACCGCCCGTCCGAGGCCGAACTCACGCCATCCACCCGACCAAATCCCGACCGTGCCGACGCTAATGTTAGCGGCGTGGGCTCGTCTCACATTCTGTTTGTGGTTTTCACGGATAAGATCCCGTAGGACACTCATGCTGGACAAGATGTCTGGGACCCTCAGGCTCTGATGATGTGGTTTGAAGACATCTCCAAGCCAAGACCTTCAGCGTTTACAGGAGTGGTTTGTAGCTGAGGCCACAGACAGCTGCTCAGAGTCTGGGGGACAACCCTTTTGGCCCAACTGTAGCATCAGACCTGCTCCAGTCGAGTCAAGCCAAGTCACCCGAGTCAGGTTGAAGCCATGACCTGTGAACTAAATTAAATGATGTCGAGTCAAGCAGAGCCGAGGCATGAAACATCATTTAAAGACCCTCCCACCTTTTCCATCCTTGTAGGCCAGCGCTTCCTCGATAAAGTCTGCTGCCTCTTCGAAGTAAACGCTGATGTCAAAGTGGTCAGTGTCGTTGGCTGGCACGCCGTGGTAGATGATCCCCGAACCGCCGTAGTAGTCTGCACCGGTGTCGATGTGCATGTAGGAGTTTCCCTCTGCAGCATTCAGGATGTGGGTGATGCCCAGGCGCTTCAGGCGCCTCACGTTTGTCGCTAAAAACCTGTTCATTAGAGAAAAAAGAGAAATGCGTCTCGACGGCTTTCCTATCAAGCATGCACATTTTTTCTGTCGTCTTCCTTTTTGGTAATAATGCTAAGCTCATGCTCATGAACATCATTCAGACGTCCCAACTCCAGCCAGCGGTGGCGTCACGCACGGCCAGCTCATTTTAGCCTGACTAAAGGAGTAAATGTTGTCGAGCTGTCAGTCAGACGCAGTTCTTCATCAGAAGCCTTTAATTACACGTGTAGCGTCCAGCGATGGTCCGTTTAGGTACAGTCTGACCTTTCAGCGTCCGGTCAGAAAGGAGACAACGCTGCATGTGGTCCCTGTAAACGAGCCTGCCTTCGTACCAGCTGGGACTCACAGACTCTGCAGCTCTGAAAGATAAACAATAACTTTCTTTCCCAAGGTCCCATCTGTCTGCCGCCACCGAGGGAACAACTCCAGCTCCAATCAGTGGCTAAAATCAAGAAAGATTTCCTAAATCAACATGAACTTCTTCCATGACTCATCATCTAGATAATCACTAAATAAACATTTGTTTATTACTACTTATAATAATTATAGTTTAATGAAATGCTTCATTAATCTGTGCTCACTGAATGGATGTTATGTTATGTTTATGTCTACTAGAACCCGCCATGTGTTCAGCATGTTTATACGACGAGGTCCTCACACCTGCACTCGCACAATAACACCTACGGCGAAGTTAAACCCTGACACACACACACACACACACACACACACACACACACCGGCTGTGTCTCAATTCAGGGTCTGCATCCTCCGTCGGCCGGTTACGTCACAGCGCCGCGACTCGGCCTGTCCCAATTCGAAGACTCCTTCAAATGCGGTCGACGAATGCGGCCTTCTTTTCGCCTGAATGAAGGATGGGTCCGGTGTATCCTTCAGTGGTTCACATTTCCCAAGATGCCTTGCGGGCCGGACGGCAGAACTTTTAAAAACAATGGCGGACAGTGAAGCGGGAGCTGTCGGAGAGGATTGTGCATATAAATGTCAGCATAAACTTGAACACTGTTAGGTTAAGGGCTTTTGGTGATACATGAACGTTATTTTAGTTAGAAATGTTACAGTAAAAGTGCTTGTATTGCAGTCTCGGCTCGTATGTTCGGCCGCTCGGTGTCGTACTTCTCCCGCTACGTTTCCCCCTGATTTTAATAGAAGTTTGTATTTTAGGTACAAGAGAAAACCAGGGAATTTATTAAGCTTAGGGCGGAGATGGACCACATGATCACCGGAGCAAAGTATTCGGCGGCTGTGGCATGGAGGTACAATAACATCTCATATTTTAAGTTTATTTTTTTCTGCGAAAACATGAAAGGAATAACCCGTTGTCCTCTTTTCTCTTCCTGTTGTTTTCTTACATGTTTGTTAAGACTATTCTGGAGAAAATTGGCATCCAGGGGAAGGTGCCAGCGACGACCAGCTTCTGGAGCTGATCAGGGAGGACATGAGGCTGCAGAGGGAGGCAGAGCAGCAGAGGGCACAGGAGAGAAGGAAGAACTTTGACAGCTTTTTACTTTGCTAGAAAAAATGGTTAAGGAAGATTAAACATGTACATATAAAAGAAATATGTAAATAAAATCAGTTCTGTATTAAACTCTTGAATTTTATTTTTGTTTACAAATGAGAATTGTTTACTAGAGGGTATCCGCTGGGTCTTGAAACGTTTTAAAAGGTGATAAATGGGTTTTGGTCAAATTAAGACCCTTAGAAAGTATTAAAAACTATGATCACATCTTTGCTCAGGCTCAGCTTGTCGAAAGTATTTTCTCTGAATTAGCTCTCCAACAGTCAAGGAAGTGATTAAAGATCTAAACAAAACGTCGAGCTCCATCGTTTAAAGTTCCTTCTCCCTTCTGCTCAGCGGTTCCACGGTTGCTAGGCGACGGAACGTTCGCCGAGGGAGAGGCGGGAATTCATGAAGGCTAGGCCTGTCCAAATTCACAGCCGTTAACATCCGGTCTACCCGGCCGACGGAGGACCCAGCCCACGTCGGCGGGGTGGGCTGGGTCCTTCGAAGGATGCAGACCCTGAATTGAGACACGGCGATAGTTTTAAACCAGTCAGAACTTCCTGTATCAAGAAGGCGTGTTTCTGAGTTGTCTTGGTAATATCTCAAACTTGGCAGCCTCTGATTGGCTGTGCAAATCATAACATCTAAACCTTAAAACTGGATCATCCTGAGTGTTTCGACAGTTCTAGAGAATCGCTCAGACCGGACATCTGTAGCAAAACCTCTTTAACCATCAAAGATGTCGACACGTCATCAAAACCTCGAAGCTGATGAGCGAACAGTTCCTGCAGAACAAAGCTGATGCTGTTGGACTCCTTAAGAGTCCGCCAGATGCACGGTTCCATCCAGCTGTCGTGACCCGAGACATCTCTGGACTGACCACGGTACCGACTCTTCCTACAGCCCTCCGGTGCCAGAGGTCGGCCGACCCCACGACTTTCGGATCCACCAAGAGGGTCTCTCCAAAACGGGTGAAGTAGACATGACAGGTCGCGTCTGATGTTCTTCTGATGAGAACAACTTTATAGCTCAGAGCAAACCAAACTCTTTTCACCAGAACTCGGCTTACTTTGATGAGGAAGCTCTGCCTGACGTCATTCACACACAGGTGCCTTCCTCATGTTTGGTTCCACCCACTCACAGCACGTGCTTAGTTAGTTAGTCATGTTTTAAATGGTTTATAAATTCAATTCTTACTTTTATAAACTTGACTCTTTGATGAAGTAACACGAAGATCTTCTGAACAATTACAATAAAGACCTCGCAGGTTAATATTTTATATTTATATAGAATATTTCATCTTCCTGGTCATAACAGATAAAATCATGGATTTGCCTACGCTACACACCTAAACCTCCACTCTTTCTGTCAATGCTTCGATGTGATGTACATTCGTAGTCCTGGACGTGTTTTTGCACAAAACCTAAACTAACCTTTACCCCCGTTCAGAAAGAAACACGTTTCTAGCATCAGAACGTGTCTTTAAGTTCACCGACATCACACGTGAGATTAGCTTTCATAGCCCCGCTGACTTGCTTTTATTTTCTCTGCTCATGTCTCTGTTGTTGCCTCTTGGCCAGATCGTTGTTGTTAATGAGAACGGTCCGACTCCTCCGGTTAAAAAGTCCCGTCGCCATAGCAACACCAGACCCACAACACATGGTGAGAAAGGATCAAAAGCCCACTGGTGGGACGCATGCAGGTTTAACTTCTTCATCTTCTTGTGACCCAGTTGAAGGCTTTTCCCAGCCAGAGAAGCACTCTGCCATCTTGTGGTCATTCTTGGTAACCGCCACACCTGCGAGGCTCACAAACCATAAACATCTGTAAAAAAAAACGTTTTTGATATAATTCCTTTCATGATGGAAATCAAGAGGTGCTTCACAAGCAGAATATTATTTCTAAAAGTATAGTTATTATTATTATATTATAAATATTATTATAATGATTAGAATTGTATTATTATTATTATTATTATTATTATTGTTGATATTATAAATGATTAATATTAATATGTTGAATAAAAATTCAGATAAAAAATAGAAATAATGAAAAAGTATTAATATTATTAGATTTTTATTTTATATTATTAACAATAGTTTATTTTTATTTTATCATTATTATTATATCATTATTATTATTGATATATTATTAAATTATTAATGTCAATATTATAATTATTACTGATATTATTACTATATTAATATTATTATTATTATTATTATTATTATTATTATTGATATTATATATGATTAATATTATTATGTCGAATAAAAATTCAGATGAAAAGACAGAAATAATAAAAAAGTATTAATATTATTAGATTTTTATTATTGTAGTATTATTATTAATAATAGTTTATATTATTTTATTGTTATTATATTATTATTGCTGATGTTATTTATATTATCTATGATTAATATTATTATGTCGAATAAAATTCAGATGAAAAGACAAAAATAATGAAAAACTAGAACAACTTTAGAGATAATAAGCCCTTTATAACCAAGGGTTTGGTTTGTTGCAGGAGGTAATAACATAAACTTGAGTTTGCTTTGAAGGACTCCAGAGACAAACATTATTAAGTATTAGTCTGTTTGATGTTTCGTTACAACACACGCTGTCGTTTTTGAAAGTTGTTGAAAATTGGAAATACTGAATAAAGACATGTGACTGAACCTGTAACCCACTTCTAACCCACTTCTAACCCACCTGTAACCCACCTGTAACCCACCTGTTACCCACCTGTTACCCACCTGTAACCCACCTGTTACCCACAGGCTTTTGTAAGACTGAGCAGTTTAGAATAATTAGCTTAGCTCCTCCCCATCTGTGCTTTGACAAATAGGCTTGTGACACGTCACACCTGTCCTTAGATACGTGCTCTCCATGTTCACCTCTGTCTCTAAACTAACGGAGGCAATTAGCAAACTGAGTTAACTAGTTTAACTAACCAACCACTGGGCTTGTGTTACAACAACCAGTTACAACAGCAGCGTTAGGCTAGTTACTGTAAACGAGTTTAAAACATGAACATCATCCTGAAGGAGAAGCTGGAGCAGGTGGATGGATGATGTCATCACAGCTTAACGGATGTGTGAAGGTGCTTTTGAGGAGGAAGTGGCGTGAGCTGATGCTGGCCGAGCACGATGACGTCCAGAGGAGGTTTACAAGTAAACAAATGATTTTGTTTAGTTGTTGACATTTCCTTCTCTTCCTAACAAACAGGTAGAAAAACAGGATAAGCCAATGAAGATGATAAGATGTTGCCTAAATATAAGTAAGTAAGTAAAAGTTTATTTATAGAGCGCCTTTCTCAGATATAAATCACAAAGCGCTGTACAACATGATAAAGATCAGGGCAAATACCTCTAACCAATAAAAACATCAGAAAAACAATAGCAGTGATAAAATAGAAAATAAAATCATGAGTAAAAACAAAGTGAAGGTGTGAACCTGAACAAAGCCATCATTCTGAAACATTTAGGGAGGGAACGCCTGGATGAAAAGGTGAGTTTTTAGATGATTTTTAAAGACCTCTACAGTGTTAGAGAGACGGAGATTTGAAGGTAGACTGTTCCGAAGTCTGAAAGGCCCTGTCCCCTTTGGTTTTCAGTCTGGTTCGAGGAACAGCCAGGAGGTTTTCAGATGAGGATCTGAGGTTCCGAGAGGTGGTGTGTGGGGATAAAAGCTCAGATAGGTAGCTTGGAGCCTGGTTGTTAAGAGCTCTGTAGGTCAGGACTAAAACTTTAAACTGTATTCTATATTCTACCGGGAGCCAGTGGAGGGACTGTAAAACTGGAGTGATGTGAGCTCGTCTGCTGGATTTGGTTAGGAGTCTGGCTGCTGCATTTTGGATGGCTTGAAGGCGTGAGAGGGAGGTTCTGCTGAGACCAGTAAAAAGAGCGTTACAGTAGTCTAAGCGTGATGACACAAAGGCATGGATGACTTTTTCCAGATCTGCAGTAGAAACCAGTTTACGGACTTTTGAAATGTTTCTCAGTTGAAAGAAACAAGAGCGGGAGATGGTTTTGACGTGTGAGTCTAAACTTAAAGCTGGATCAAAAATATCTCCTAGGTTTCTGATGTTGGCCTTGGCTGATGGGCAAAAAGAGGCAATTTCCTGCTCGATTTTTGGCTGAAGTTCCGGGGGTGCAGAGATCAGGGTCTCTGTCTTGTTAGCATTGAGGACAAGAAAGTTGCTGGACAGCCAGTTACTGATCTGGGTCAGGCAGAGTACAAGTGTGGCCAGCCTGTCCAACTGGTGTGGCATAAAGGACATATAGAGCTGAATATCGTCAGCATAGATGTGGTAGGAGATGTCTGGGAAAGACTGAATGATGCCAGCTAGGGGAAGAATATAGAATGCAAATAGTAGAGGCCCTAGAACTGAACCTTGTGGGACCCCGCATGTTAGAGAGGCGGTGTCTGAAGAGAAGGTTTCTGACTTCACTGTGAATGTTCTGTTGGTGAGATAGGAAGAGAGCCAGTCTAGAGCAGAACCTGAAATCCCAGCCAGGGCCTTTAACCTGTTTAGTAGAACGTTGTGGTCTACAGTGTCAAAAGCTGCACTGAGGTCTAGCAGGACCATGACAGAGCATTTCCCTGCATCAGCAGCCATCAGGAGGTCATTATGCACCCTTACTAGAGCAGTCTCAGTTGAGTGCTGCTTCAGAAATCCAGACTGGAAGGGGTCAGAGATCTTTGACTTAGAAAACCAGGATCTGAGTTGGGTTTCAACAACCTTCTCAAGTACAAGTACAAGTATATAAGGCTGTGTAGATTTTTTAAACAACACACACACACACACACACACAGGCCTCCTAACTAATGTATTTACTCAGATTACAGTAAGGAACAGAAGTAATCTGTAAGAACTCTGGCTCTCAAAGACCTGTTAAACTGCTTTTCAAACGCCCGCCTCAATTCCACGTTTTAATCTAAGTTTGCCAACGACCATCTGGATGATCCAGAGGAGGCATGGGAGAACGTCATGTGATCAGATGAGACCAAAGTAGAACTTTTGGGTCTAAGCTCCACTCACTGTGTGCGGAGGAGACCGAAGGATGAGTTGCATCCCAGAAACACCATCCCTACTGTGACGTACGGGAGTGGAGACATCATGCTCTGGGGGACAGGACAACTGCTCAGGAGAGGATGAACGGGGTCATGAGCAACAACCCCCGTTCCTCTGTCAGAGCATGGAGATGGGTCGTGGCTGGGTCTTCCAACATGGCAACGACCTGAAGGCTCTGGACCGGCCCAGCCAGTCCCCAGACCTAAATCCAACAGAACATCTCAGGAGGGAGCTGAAACTCTGTGTTGCTCATAGATCTCCTCTAGATCTGCTGGGTTTCAGGCTGTCTGAGTGGAGGAGTGGGCCAAAAATACCTGCTGCAGTGTGAGCACACCTGCTGAAGAACTGCAGGAAACCCTTTGATCTCTGGGACTGCTAGCAAATATTTCTCACACACACACACACACACACACACACACACACACACACACACACACACACACACACACACACACTTCACTCACGCATTCCCGACATAGATCCTCTGGTAAACCTCATGGAAGTGTTTGGTGGGCCACTTGTAGACGCCCTGCTCGTCCGCCAGCAGATCATTCAGCTGCTGCACAGAAACCTCGAAGCTGGACATGTGGGCTCGCTGGGACGCCTACGTTTCCTCTGCTGCTTGTGTCTGTCCCTCACGTCCCGAGTGGGGTGAAGTAAAACCTAAAAACAAACGGGAGGTGGACAGGTGTCAGTTTACAGGCTGGGTTCTCACGCCCGGACCCAAGACTGCTGAGGCCCCGGGGCGGGACGGGGGGGGGGGGGGGGTGGGGGGTGGGGGGGGGGGGGGGGGGGTTCTGGCGGAGGTCCCAGATCTTATAAACGCAACGAGCAACCAGGTACAAAAAACAGTCCCGTTCTCCTGCAGCCACACGGTTCATGTGAGCTAACATGCTACAGACTAACATGACAGGTGTTTAAATGCCTCCTCGGTCACGGTGAAGGCGTTCTGGTTCAACCTGCTAGGCAGTTCATTTATGGTTTTCACTAGTTAGCATTTAATGCTGAATCACTTCCGAGGACACGTGGATTACAGGGTGAGGGCTCTTAAAGCAGGAAGGTCTACACACGTGTTTTATTATAGCTCCGCGACGCTGAGAGGTGTGCAGGATGAAGGTGCAGTATGTCCTTTAGAAGTTATGTTAGGAATGAATGAATGAAATCTTTATTTCCAACAGTTTTAGAACATGCAGCGAGAAACAAACAGTCATCGTAGACATGAGACTAAAACAGCGCTGACACAGGAGAACCGTCCTGGTCAGTGTGAAAAGGAGGAGGAGGAAGGTGAAGCTTATGAAATCCTACCCTCATCTGACACGTCATTCAATTTTGTCTGATGTGCAAAATTTAAATT